GCGGCCGCCCCGCCCCGCCCGGGTGCCGGGCGCGGGGGGGGGGGCTCCATGGAGCCAGCCGGCGGCGCTGGTTTCTCCCCAGCCGTTTCCCACAGCCCGAGAAGTCCCGCTGCCGGGGGTACGGCTGCCCGCTGTGCTTGGGATGGGAGCGTGCGTTTATGTATCTTCTTTTTTTAAGGGGGAGGAGGAAAAATGCCTCGAAATCCAGACTTTTGTGGGGTTTTGGTTTCAGGCAATCATGTGTAAGCTTGGACAATAAGACCTGAAACGCTCAGGGGGATCCTGCCATATTCTGCAACCCTGCTGTGTTTTAGTGGGAAATATTCAGGTTTGGCTCTCCGTTCTCAGAAAAGTTTAGTTTTTTTGTTTTTTCCCAGGTGAACTGGGAAGGTCAAAGCATTAAGGAGGGTCTTTTTTTTGTTTTTGTTTTTTTAAATATCCATAACCTTAAAGAAAATACTTTCTATTATGTCTACTTCTAGGAGAAACTAAATGGTGACCAGATCTTATGCATCATTTCACAAGGGGGTAGGGGGAGAGCCACTCCATTGACTTTTTCCTGTAACTTTTTTTTTTTTTCTTCTAATGCCTGCTGGTAAAACATGTTGGCCATGAGCTGACCGTTTTAAATGTGGCTCCTTTCATAATGTGAAAATGGTGTCAAGATGTGCTCAGGACGTGGCTTGGATCTCACAGTTTCCATGTTTATTGTGTTGGTTGTTCCCTTTATTTTGTAGGTGTGCATCTCATAAGTTAACAAGCTACTAGGCTCTTCTGGTAGGAACAGTAAAGTAAATTAATAGCTTTTTTTTAGTCATCCTGTTGTGGATAGGAAGGAGGTATATTGCTAAACTAAAAAGAAGTGATGTTTAATAATAGAACTCTTATGATTTGTGTTAACTAGTAAAATGACTGGCCTGTGGTCTGAAATTGCTCTCTCAAGTCCCATGCTAGCAATATATTGAGCAAGTGTTTAACATTTTTTAATCCATGTTTATGTCCCATTGATTTCAGTGAGATGCAAGCATGCAGTTAAGTGTGTTGCAGAATTGGAGCTTAAGGATCAGACTCTACTACCCTTACTTGGGTGAGAAAGTACCCAACTTTTGTGAATAGGCTTGGTGTTTAGCTACATGCAGGCTTCCACAGGCTTAATTTAAGGTGTGATTTTATTTTTTATTTTTAGAAGACTTCTTCAAGCCAATAGAGAAGACTGTGGTGACTCATGTTTTAGTTTAGTTTACATCCATCATTTAAACTGGGCAGAAAGGAGCAGCTCTTTCACTGGAATAAGTGTCCCAAGTGGGGATTTGCACCAGTTGAAATAAATTGGTCCTTGTTTGTATGCAGTCCAGATCTTGCGCATTTTAAGGGGACTGCTTGCCATACTATAAAGCAGGGGTTTCCAACCCCCAGGCCATGAAGGGTTGGCTGCCGAACCAGAAGTGTGTATTTCATACTGAATATGAAAAAGGGTTTCCTGCCTGCCTGCCTGCCTGCCTGCCTGCAGTATGCCAGTCACTTCTGGTCCATGGTCAGTTCTGGTCCTTGGTCTGCTGGTCCACAGCATAAAAAGGTTGGGAACCCTGCTCTAAAGCATAGATGACTGTTGATAGTGGAAGGGAGGACACGACTTAAAGGGTCTGGTGGTACGCAGTGGGGCTGAGGTCAGTTGGTCTGTTGTGGCAATGGTGGTGGGGACAGGATAAGGTGCTGTTACACAGCTGCACTCTGTGGTAGGCCTTTGGCTGCCTGGGAGCTGCAGCAGGCTCTGACTTCTGACATTGGGCTGCCTGCTGCTGCTGCTCACCCAGCTTGGGGCTATGGGGAGAGTTGGAGCAGCCACTTCTGGTGCACCCCCTAGACATGCTCCACAGGCCCCCAGAAACCTGGGGGGGGGTGCATGCCCCACTGATGCATCACAAGCTATTTCATCATGTAAACTGGTAGAAGGAATCGTTTGGCTATAGCTCACTTATCTTCTGCACTACAACTTGGTTCAGGGGTGGGCAGTTATTAGGGCTCAAGGGCCACTTAAGTTTTGGTGAGCTGTTTGTGGGGGTGGGGGAGAGACGCCAGTTGATCTTATTCGGCCTGCCGAACATTGCCAGGAGTGTGAGAAGGGAGTCCTGTGCCGTTCTGATCTGCCACAGCTGGAGCTGGGGTGGGCCGCACAGTGTGCAGACTCCTCTGCCCCCCTGCAGCCATCCCAGCAGCCACTTCTCATTCCCCTGCCCTACTTGGCTTCCTGCTGGTGCTGTGCAGGGCCCATACTGGAGAGGGCACAATGCAGCGTGCTGAGTATCCATCCCGCTCACCACCAACTGCTGGTGCCATGCAGCCCCAAGAAAATTTGGGGAGGCTGCCCCATGTTGAGCCCCCCTGCAGCCATCATGGACTCACCTCCTAACAGCGCCATGGTGGCAGCAGCTCATTGCTGTGGGCAGGAGGGCTACTTGGCATGTGGCATTACACTGCATCCTATGCGGGTCTCTCTGCTGGCAGTGATGCCAGGACTGCGCAACTGCAGTGACAATAGGAAGTGGGAGGGAGCGGGGCAGAGGAGTCTGTGCTGCCCAGCCTGGCCCTGGTGGCAGCAGAGTGGAAGGGTGCAGGGTGCAGCCTTCCCCCCTCAGACTTCTGGCAGCCCTCAGCAGGCCTATAGGATCTGTTAGCATGCCAGATGTGGCCCATATTGTCCCACCTCTGACCTAGTGGACTCTACATCTGTACAAATGTCTCCTTCCTTGACTCTGTTGCTGAACTAGAGCTGAGCTGTTCTGAGTTGGCCAGAAGCTGAGAGCCTTGTAGTCACTTGCGGACTACTCTATATGTTAAATACCTTTATGTTTAACCCTTTTGTTCAAATATATGGGAGGAGGAAGCTGGTGAAATGGTAAATGGGTGAATTGGATGCCAAGGGAAGATGGAGATTACTTGACTAAATTCAGAGTTTAAAAAGCTACTCTGACTTTTTTTCTTCCCTTCTCTTCCTCTCCCCCTCCACTGCAAAATAAGAAGCAGAAAAGAATAAAACTAAGAACAACTTTGTTGACTTGCCAAACCAGGTTAACATTCTTTAGTCAAGATTTTACTTCTGAGATGACCCTGGCAAAAGGTGATGCCATGTTAATGGTAGAAAACTGGTGCACGCCCTCACACACAACCAAGAGCAAAGTTTTTTTTTTTTCCAAACAAACTGCTTCAAAACAAATGTATTGAATTAACATGGTAGGCTGCCTATGTGTTTGGTTAGGTGGGAACTTTTTCATTTTAAGACCCTGTACCTACATGCACAGTGTGATAGGAGGTTACCTCATTGATTTCAGTGGGACTCATTGCAGGGTTTAAACTTCAGCCTGTGCACTCATTTCTTCAGGATTGGGGTCAGGGACTCCAGTACCTACTGTGGTGCTTAAAGCTTTTGGGGTCAGGGCTGAACTTCATAGAAAAATGAATGGCTTGAGGACAAAAAGGTGAAATGCAAGGTGAAGCTAACTTTGAGTGATGATTTTACATACGGCCTTGGAAGATGCTGTTATCATCTGAAAAATTAAAATAGCCTATCTCTGTTTTTAATCTTCTTTTGAAACTATACTAGCAAGCTGCCAACTTTTCTATTAGAAAAATATGCAAGAGAATGAAAATGGAGGAGGGTTAGTGAAATTGTACACTCTGGCATTTTTTTCAAATATCTTTGGCAATTTATGAAGTCTAATGATTTCCAGACAACAGAAGGGAGGAGGCAAAGAGCAAGGACCTCATCAGAGTTATTGAGCACCTTCAGGTCACAGTGTAATCGAATTGTAAGAATTGCAGGTATAGCCACAGTTTTCGAAGATTATAATGGGTAGGTGCTCAGTTTCTGAGCTGAGAAGCATGGCTCCACTTGGCAATGAGACTGTGGAGGGCACCCTCCTGCCATCACCCTCCAGCTCTGTCTGACAATGTTTGAGAGCAGCAGTGGGGATGCCCTCATGATGACTTCACCAACTCACTTCTGGGCTCGGTGCATACGGAACAGGAGTGGGTGTGTGGGATTTGCTTCCTGGCACTGCTCTCCAAAGGCCCACAGAGGCAGTATGAGCATAGCCAATGCATATTTGCAGAAGGGGTTTCTAGCCTGTGGTGCTTTACATTTGGCAACTGGTAAGGGGTTTGGGGTTGCAGGAGAAGGAAACCTGATTGGTACCTAGAATTGTAAATGTGTGGCAGTTGGTTCTTCCTTCTTATAGTAACAGGGCTATAGAGGCATCCTGAGTACCTTGCAGCTGTTAATGGATCTGAGGGGAGGAAATGCTGTTATCCTAATTTTAAATGAAGAGGTGAGGCACAGAGAGACGGACTGCCCAAGGTTGCACAGGAAGTCTATGGGAATGCAGTATGGGAATTCATAGCTGCCCCTGGAATGGGGTGGGGGTGCAAATAGGGAGACTGCCCCTGGGCCCCATGCTTTGGGAGGCCCTGTGCACGGTGCCATTGGCAAGTGTGCCACCACTTTGCACGGATGCCGCACGCTGCCAGCTTCCTGCTCTGGCTGCTCGCTCCCCCCTGCCCTGCTTCCCCCCCTTCCCCCAGGCTGATATGCCCCAGGCCCCACACACCCCTAGGGGCAGCTCTGGCAGTGAATTGATCTTTGACCTCTCAAGTTGAGGAAGCTTAGT